TGAATGAAAAGATGGGGGAGGGCAATGTTGGGGGGGGGGACTGAATGAAAAGATGGGGGAGGGCATGTTGGCTTCAGAACGACAGCAGGGTGCAGTCAGGCTTTAATTAAGCTGCAGCAACAGATGTCTCACCACGAAGAAGCCCGGGGTGCATAGAAATATGTATATTTATATATCAGAGAAGGTCCTGTGGTGGCGGCCTGCTCAATAAGCCCTCCACGGTTAGCGTGCATGTGTGTGCGTGTGTGTGTGTGTGTGTGTGTGTGTGTGTATGTGCCTCCATCAAGCATAAGCTGAAATAATGGTGTTGGACAAGAGCCCCCAACCACCCGGGAAACTCATCTGCCCTCGCATAAATCCTGAAAGGACTCTTCTGGGCCATCAGGCAGAACCTGAGGTCACCTTTATACAACCAGTATATCTGCACTGTATATGGGCAGGCACACGGTACGAAAAAAGGGAAAAGACCGGAAGCATAGCGGCCTGCGATGCAGGCTGTGAGAATCTGGCGATATGTGACGGAAAGATGTGGCAACACACCCTGGTGCCAGTCAGCCCGTGAAGTAAGTGTTCCACCTTCAGATCACTGCAGTGCTGTACCGCTGACCTCTGCGGGCTGGGCTGCTGGGCATGGGTTGGGTGGGGGGCCGACTGATTAAATATGCAGCCCCCGTCACAGCCCAACTGACAGAAAATGTTGCGCCGCCGCAACGGTGAACATCTCCCAAGCTATTCGGGAGAATTTGGGTTGCCAGCTACTGACTCTGCAGCTACACCGAACAGGAGACTGGAACCGATTTCTACACAGACCACAGACAGAGTGACAATCCGCAGCCCTGAATCAGCAATGCAGCTCTTAGTGACGCCGCCGATATTCAATTAATATTCAAATTAATGCAGAGACTCGAAGGAATAAAGACACGAATGGAACTGGCATCTGAAGGCATTTCAATTACATTTCAATTATCAATTGACCCCACAATGTGGCAAAATCTGTTACTTCTTAGTTTGGGGAACATTTTTGAGGTCCTCACAATGTAAAACTCAATTTTATAAAAATCTGTGAATACTAATAACTAGTAATGTCAAAATTCTTTTATTTATTTTATTTGGTTACTTATGGTGAAGGTTTGGGCTAAGTAGGGGTTCTGCCTGTCATAGCTGAGATTAGAATTTTGCCCGTAGAGATGAATCCAGAGTCCCCACAAAGATCTGTGAAAGCAATTAAAAAAAGTAAAAATGCCAAAAGTCTCGTATTTTGTTTGGTTACTTACGGTTAAGGTTAGGGCTGGGTAGGGGTTAAGGTCATCATGTTGGGATTAGAGTTCTCCCCATAGAAATCAATGGAGAGCCCCCACAAAGATATAATTACTAACCTGTGTGTGTGTGTGTGTGTGTGTGTGTGTGTGTGTGTGTGTGAAGTCAGCCTCCACCTCATTCTTCATCTGCTGTTACCGAACTGCAATTTGGGTATCCATGGCTCGTTATAAACTAATTAGGCCAGTGTCATGTTAATCACATTTTAATGAGCACGACCACATCCCGCCGAACAAACCCAGTGCATGAGGAATAACAACTCAGAAGATGGGTTCACTGTCCTGCTCTGGGTTCACGTCTATACTCGTATTACATTTAAGGCATTTTACTCCAAAACGAGCAAACTCTGAGGATTACTAGGTGGTTTGACACCTCGTTCCCAAAACTAAAAATTGCTTTCCTGTTATATCTCATCTCCCCACTCAATGCTCATTACTTGAAGAGGAAATTTACAAAACACACTCAGTTTGAAAGAAAGTACCATTTCCGTGAACTTTCTGAGCAAATTTAACTAAAGTTCTTTGTTGCATTACATGAAGATTGAGTGAGTTTTGGTTCCTGATACTGTAACATATGAGAAGGAACCCTGAAATTGGTGGTCTCATCTCAAAAAGACCCAAAAAATAGACTGAGTGCATTTTGGGAATTTTCTCTTCAATTGAGGTGTTCCTCAAGGCTCTGCTCTGGGTTCATTTAGCAATTGAAATGACGGCGTTCGTCCGGCTTGCGCTCGGCTCAGCCTACCTTTCTGACGTAGCTGACAGCATCCTCTTCTGTATAAACCTCGGCGCTGACTCCACCACGCCGGCGCCGGGCCTTCACCACTGGGTTCGGGGGGGGCGGGGACACCTCGTCGTCGTGGGAGTCTGACTGCGAGTTGGACTTCTGGCGCGCCAGGATCTGTTTGCATTCTTCCTGTGATGGGAATAAAATAAAAAAAAACAATAAAGCAAAAGTAGACACATGCCACTGTGTTGAAAACAAATGCATAAGGAGCTTCTGACCCCTGCGGTGAGCGGTAATACCATGGTAAACATCTGAATCTTTGGTACATACATGAAATAAACAGAATCTCTTCTTGAACAGATCATTTGGCTGGTTGCAGGCTTTGGTGGTGCAGTATGGGCTGGGACCCAAGCACTTTGCCGTGCGTTTGATATTCCACTGTAATAAACTCTACCAATCCGACAGGTTTCAAATGAAACAGGCAGCATAATTAAGCAATTGTTCAGTCATTCAGTCACTCATTCATCTTTAATACCACTTGTGCTATAAAGAGTCACGGGGGTCTAGAGCCCATCTTGGAAACAACAGATGCGAGGCAGGGAATAGCCCGGGATGGAGTCGCAGCCCATCACAGATTCCATTATGAGGGTGAAAAGGTGGACAGTACTGTGAAACTCTACACCAAAATGTTTTACAAAAAAAAAGGCTGAGAGTTAAAAAAAAAAAAAAAACCCTCAGGTGAAGCTTAAACAGGAAGCTGAGTACACAAAGCTAATTAGTGCGAACGAGCTATAAAAGTGCTGCTTACGAGTCTAAATGTTTCCAGTTTAACCACTTTCCCATTTGCATGTGACAGAAAACATGTGACCACACTCACCGGGCCGACAGCGTCAGCGGCGGGGGCTACAGCTGGCGCAGCCCGAATCACCGCCTCAGCAACGCAGCCCGTTCGATCGCCCTTCCCTGCCTTTCAGCCAGCTGCACCCCCCAGCCCCCCCCCCCCCCCCCCCTCGGGGCAGGTGCTCTGCCGTGGTGACTGCGCTGCCTGAATATGACGACTCGCTGCCTGTAACACACCCCTGGCACAGAAGTCACACGCGGCACGTCCAGAGCCCACCGAGCCGCACAGGCTTCACTATGTCACGGCGCACCCCACCTCCGAGACACACCAGACAAACGCATGCAGCCCGAAAACGGCGACATGCACCGACGGCGCTCTCATCGACGCCCGAGCGAAGCCCGCTGCACTAGTCCGTGGCAGAATCGACGGCAGCTTTACCATGCTCGCCCGGCCCAGTCACTCCCCGCCGAGGTGGGCCGCCCCGTCAGAGCTACGCACCGGCCGGGCCGCCCGCCATCCCGGCGGCCCGGGGCATGTAGCTCGCCGTAGGGGGGCACGTGTGCGTATGCGCCCACCGTGCGTGCAGCTGAGCGTGAGGACGCACGCGTGCAGACGTCTGAGATCACCCGCTCGCCCTGCTGACAGAAACACTGACAGGAGAAGGATGAATGAATAAAGGATGAAGGAAGAGTATGGGAAGATCCCGCTTCCCTCACCGCGTCCTGCACCAGTCCCTCTCTCTCTCTTTCTCTCTCTCTCTCCCTCTCTCCCCCCACACACTCTCTCACTCTGATTGCGCACAAACACACGCGTTTGCTTCCTTGGTTGCCATGACAACGGGGCATCGTTACACTTCTCTGCTGGAGTGCAAAGTCATGAGGAAATGACACGGAGTGTGCACACGTGCAGCAGGGACACTGTAAGGGAATTAAGACGGGCGAACTGCACGATAACACAGTGCTAACAGCAGCTAAGCTAAACGGCCCCACAGACAGAGTCGCCTGTGGACCTCGTTTAATTAACGGCCTCCTCATCACGTCACCTTCGGATCCCACACTGTCATCATCCACAGGGCAGGGTGTGTAACTGACAGCCTATCGGGTTAAACCCCCTACAGAAGGGCGGTACAACCACCACCCCCCCACCCCCCTCAACGGCAGGTAGTGGAAGTCACCTTGAACGTCACGGTGCAGCGAGCCCACAACTGCTGGCCTGGCCTTGGGCATTAGCCGTCTCGTCAGCAAAAGCAGAGTGGACACGTCCCCACAGCATTCGCTTCTGTTTTTAACTAAAAGCCAGGAAGTGACTGTAAAGTACAACTGCTGAGTTTGGCTCATTTGGGCCTTAGAGTCCCCGCAACGATTGAACGATTCCTGTTATGCGCCTGGGCCTGAGTGTGTTACAAGGTCAAAGAGCACACATCCCTAGGAAAGGCCGTGATGTCCTCCACACACACACACACACACACACACACACACACACACACACACACGCACAAACTCTCTCTCTGCTTTATAATGCGAAACCAGCTTATCCCTGAAACACAGAAATGCAACAAGGGGACGCCGATATCTGCGAAACCACAACACAGACAAAGAGCTACTACAGGGCAAAGGTCAAGTGGGGTTGCACAAAGAGAAGAGAGGTTCCTCAATCCGTAATCAATGATGTTGACAGAATCAGAGGGTGAACTTTCCCTGACGGAGCAGAGTGATCCGTCATGTTTAGCGTCCGCATCTGCCTGCCCTTGTGACTGGCACCCGCAGGAACCCAAGAGGAACTAAACCTCCAGTACTGACTGCAGGAAGATGAGCAGCAACCTGGCTGACGCGCCAGAGATGGGAACTGCTCCAGCCGCCCTCAAACCCGCAGCCGAAGCCCCCAGAAGAACCTGGGGGCCACTGCAGGACCTCCTGCTGCTTTTCTGGTGCATGCAATTCACTGCAGAACTCTTACTGACTAACGATTGCATATCAGGAACATCAAGCGGGTCGGACTGGAGGCAGGAGGATGGAAGAGTGTAAAATGCTACAGGCTCCCGGTACTTACTTCATATTAAACCAGTGTTTGGGATTATTGGGATTATTGGGATTCCCAGCTGTGATTCTTATGACCAGAGCTGAGAAAGCCAGGGATGGAGGGAAGGGAGAAAAGAGGAGACAGACACGAGCAGGGATCGGGAAAAGTGCACATGAAGGGCAAGGGGCTGGGGTGACACAGTGCATGATGGGATATTACCCTGGTGCGACCGCAGGTGCTTCCTGATTAACCCGGAGAGGAAGGACTGGGACCCGTGACCAACAACATAGCACCAAGCCACCAGCCTTCAACACGCACACACACACACACACATGTGCACACACACACATACGTACGCACACACACACACACACACACACACAAACATGCATGCGCACGCACACATGCACACACACAAACATGAGTGCACACACACACACACACACACACACGTGTGCACACACATACATATACATACGCAGGCACACACACATGCAAACACACAAACATGCGTGCACACACGCACACACATACGCACACGCGGACACGCATAGACACACACACGGCATTACTAGCACACAATCCTCCCCAGATTGCAAAGCCCTAAGAGAGGGGGTCAGTGCCCCCTGCTGGGGGGTAGGATATCCACAGTACTGTCACTGGGAGAGAGACACGGGGGCCTCTAAAATGAGGGCAGGTAGGGGGCACAGGCTGAGTGTCCAAGTGACCCTACCGCTGGGCTGCACCCCCCCCACCCCCCCATAATGCAGAGCTGAAGCACATCAGGTGTCCGGAGACTGACTGTTATAACGCCACCTTTAATAATCACCCCAGTGCTGCTTCTCTAGAAGGCTGTACGGCCCTCAAATCATGCGCAGATGCACGTCCAGCGCCGCATCACCGGAGAAGCAGGGCCTGCGCATTGTACCATGGGGGCATCAGCAGGCACAGGCGCCAGGAGCGATGTGCTTCCTCCAGAGGACGACTCAGATACGCCGCTGCACCGGCAGCGTCCGGCCGCACTCAGTGCCTCCGGTGGGCTCAGCTGCCGGCTACGGCGATGCCCGGCTTTAACAGAGATCAGAAACCCTTAATGCTCTGCAGTCTCACGCTGACTCTGACAGGAATCAGCCCCAGATGAATTAACCAGTAGAAGCAGCCCATTCTAGACCAGGTCATCCACTCCGAGAGCTCCTGGCGATCACATGACCACACTCATCTGGGTGTCTCGTCCAATCACACAACAGAAAATGAAAGCACTTCCCTAATGCCGTCCAATAAAGGGAGGGGTGGGTAAAACAGCAGGGATGCACACCAAAGGCATAAATTAAAAAAAATAATAATCAAAGCGGAGCGCACGCGTGCATCTGAGCGAGAAGGGCTACGTGACGGAGCTTATCGTGGCTCATTTCTTTGATCGGAAGGGGGACCAAAGACTCAGCATGAAGCCTCTTATCCACGTGTGACTGACGCTCTTAAGCTTCTTTAAGATGCAGCAGATTCACATTAGCATCCAGAATGCCTTTTTCTTTATCTCAGTCACCAGGAATTCATTTCAAAGAGTATTTTACTTCCACGCCAGCGGACCTCAACACGGAAACACGTTGATCTCGTTCTAAACCGCCGTCGTGACGGGCGGTGAATCGGGAGAGGCTGTTCCGGATGTGGCTGCGCGGGGCTGCCAGACAGTCGGACAGAGAGGAGCTCCTGGAGAGGCTGGGCGATACCCTGTCACCTAGGTTACGCTAACGTATTTGGCTCCGGGGGGGGTGAGCAGGTCGAAACCCACGTCACTAGACAGCCGGGGGGGGGGAGAGAGGGAGGGAAGGCGACGGTTATGAGCTATATTTTTTATGTTTTCATTTTTCGATGTATGATTATTTGAAAGGTTCCTCTCTGTACAAAAGGCCTGGCTCATTCTACACAGCCAATCAAGTACCAGGTTTCCTGGAGGCTATTGGTTTAAGTCCCAAAAGGGTCCATCTGCTGCAGTGACAGAGTGAGTGAAAGAGCAGACAGAGGAGAAAGGGAACGGAGGAAAGAGAAAGGGAAGAAGGCCGGTATGGGGCCCGGGTGCCAATGCAGGACAGATCTGAGCAAGGATTAAATGTCAAAACACAGTGACTCACTGCAGAGCGTGATTTAAACCCCCTTGT